CCCAATATCTCTCTCTGTTTTATCTCTGCCACCATTTCTCTCCCTCGTCTTTAAAATATTTCCCCCCATAGAACTTTGGCATATGCTACTACTCCTACTACAACAGTGCTACTGGTGCCTCGGCTAGAGCAACCGGGGAAAGAAAGCAAACTTGCTAAACTAGAGTAGGCGTCTCCTGTCCTCTGGTCTGTCTTCTTCCTCGGTTCGAGGCCAAGCCAGCAAACCAAGAAACCCAACCAAAGACCGGCCAAGCAAGCTACCCCCATATGCTACATGGAGGGGAGGGTGGGCATTGCGGTGGCAGGTGGCCATGAAGCCGGCCTCGGCCTGTTCAGAGCAGACGTTTCCATGGCGGAGCCGCAAGGAGCAGCCAAGGTGGAGTACCGCTCCTCTCCCTCCTCGCCGTCCACCTCCCCGACGCCGTCCCCGCCGCAGGCCGCGGCTGGCCAGGGAGGAGGGTACGCGGCCGCGACGCCGCACGCGTGGAGCTTCGGCGGCGAGCAGGAAAAGCGGAGCGAGGCCAGCGCGGGGGATAACGGCAACGGCAACGGCAACGGCATGCAGATGGCGGGTGACGGCGAGCAGGCGGCCGGCTTGAGCTCCGGGCGGCGCAGGGGCCGGCCACGCGGCTCCGGGAGACGGCAGATCCTAGCCACCCTAGGTCCGTATGCTCCCTCTGGAATCCAAACCTTCTTCTTGAGCGACCCAAAGCTTCCATTTTTGCTGTTCGGGTTCTTGCCATGTTTGCTCCCCCTTGTGCATTTCTATTCCATTGCTAGGATGGGGTCCAGTTAGGGCGGTATCTGTTAGGACAGTTCTGCTGTTCTTGACTCTCATCTTGTCGCATCCGTCTCCGATGTTATTAAAGTGATTCCTATGTTTAATCTCCACTTATTCTCACCAACCTTTACCTGTACTCTTTTCCCATTTATTCTCACCAACCTAGCTTGCGTACGCATTATTGTCAGATTTATCTGGCAGGGTTGAACTAATCGACCTGATCCGTTTGAAAGTTACTAGATGATTTCGTACTTATATGCTAACCTTGATTAAGGTCCTTGTTTCATGCTCTCCAGTAGTTCGGTGACCTAGAAAACTAGTGTAATTGTTTGCCTGCCTGCAATCCTTAAATACTTGTGATTTGTGAAGGGGAATGGTATGCGCTCTCAGCTGGAGGGAGCTTCACACCGCATGTCATCATCGTCCCTGCTAGAGAGGTAATTAATTAGCGTCTTTGGCATCTTAAGCCTCTAATATTCCCCTACATTGTGATCTAGTGGCGGATGGGTGTCGTAATTTGAGAAACACGTCGCTGTTCTTGTCCGATTTGGTTTGTAGGATGTGGCGGCGCGCATAATGTCATTCTCCCAGAGGGGTCCACGCTCGGTCTGCATCCTCGCTGCCAGTGGGACCATCTCCAATGTGGCATTTAACAAGCCTGGCTCATCTGGCTCATCTGATAGCACCTTCACCTACGAGGTATGCAACAAAAATGGCACCAAGAATTTGCTGTTTGCCTCTTATCGCTTTTTTTTCCGGGAATGCGCAAGAGGGTTGCGTGCCTATGTATTAAGAGACAGATAGCAATCCCCTAACAAAAAGAGACAGATAGCAATCAAACATTTTACAAGAATTGCTATTGTGAATCTCTGTTGAATGTTTCATTTGTCCGGAGTAGTTTGCACTCTGCGCTAATTTGGCTTTATTTATACACAATGCAACTTGGTTAATGGCTATGTACTTATGAGGATGGATGAATTCCTTGCCTATTTTAACTGGTGTATTGTGTCTTGCTGATTCAAACTGAAAATATTTCGTGCATCTGATTTCCAGGGCCTGTTTGAGATTCTTCAGCTGACTGGCTCCTTTACAATGGCCGAGGAAGGTGGCCGGAAGAGGACCGGTGGGCTCAGTGTGTCACTTGCTGGCCCCGATGGTCGTGTCATCGGCGGAGTAGTCGCCGGTATGCTGCGTGCTGCCACTCCTATCCAGGTATAGCCCCGGCTTTTCAAGTGCTCTCACACCTTTTGAATTTTGAAACCATCTTTTTCTTCGTTCTCTAACACAGACCGTCTGAACAGGTGATTGTGGGGAGCTTCCTACCGAACAGTCTGAAGCAGCATCAGAGGAGGATGGGCCTGCAGCCGCAACCATCTGCCATTCCAGCGCCGCCGGTGGCTGACACCCCTCCTCCGGTGCTCACAGCTGTAATGCCCATCTCTCAGGCGGCTCCCGGCAATGGTCGCCATGGGCCTCCGGTCCCCATGGCGCCCCTGCAAGTCCATGCCAATGTGGAGCACGCTGCAACCACCGGCCCCATGAACCTGAACTCAAGCTCCGCCGGCTTCACCATGGTCGGCTGGCCTGTTGGCGCACAACCCATGGGTCACAGGCCTTCCCCTGATATCAACCTCTGCTTGACTCCCCAGGAGTAGAATCTGCTGCCGTTTTGTTTTGGTCCCCTCATCACTGACACATTTTGCAGGGCGTTGACTGGGTTCTATCCTAATCAGCTAGATCAGCAGTCCAGTTGGGGGAGAAGCTAGGCTAGAGTGAGGACAATTTAGCCCTAATCTGATAGAGTGATAGGTGGTGCTCTTACATGATCCTTAATTAGGAGAGACTTTTCTATTTGTTCTGGGCTGTTCATTGTGATTTCTGCCATTGCTGTAACGGTTACTTGTAGTACTTTAATCAGTGGTTACATTCTAAGTCCATGTCTGAACGTAGTCTATGGCCTGTTTCCAGAGTCACTGCTTTCTGTTGACGTGTGTTACTTTTGATTTCGAGTAGTGCAATTTGCATCTGCACTTAGGGCCTGTTTCTAGAGTCACTGCCTCCTGTTGACGTGTGTTACTTTCGAGTAGTGTAATTTGCATACAATTTGAATTTGTATATGCACTTAGGGCCTGTTTGGATCGCGGCCAGTAACCACCCTACCAAAATCCTATTGTTGACTAAGGGCGTGGGCGAGGCGTTTCAATGGCTGCACCCTGATTTGGTAGGGCGGGCGTGGGCGCCATCCAAACATGCCCTTAATATCGAGAAGGGAACGACCTAGAAATAGACATGAGTCATGGGGCCACAAGTTAGTGACATGTGTGTCATTTATACAATGTTGTTATGGGCTTGTGGTTCTATCCATGAAGAAGCAATTTCTTAAAGTAAACTTGCTGGACCGGCAAAAATTATTTATCCTCCAATATTTGTTTGGGGAAGCTTAACTCTCCAGCATATTGGTATACACAATTGCATATTTCATTCTTGTTTTTATAACAGAGGCATAAGATGTGCTCGGCTTTAAATTAATAAATCACGAAACATGCAAAATAGTCAAATGTTCTTACAGATGACATCTAACATAGTAGCAAGCGAATAGAATTGCGGAGTCAAAGAGGCAGCTAGGCCCCCTCATGCCATAAAAGATGTACTCCCTCCGTGAAGAATATAAAAGTGTTTAGATCTTTCTCGAAACATGCGTTTGCCCCGCTTTATAGATTTTTTTCGATAAATGATGTTTTTTTGACTCATAATGTAATAATATCGAGGGATGCAATCATAATGAGTACACCCCCGGCCTCTGCATAGTTAGGATGCACACAGCAAACACTAACACACACAATGATCACGCCCGCGTGGAGCAAAGTCATACAAGACCGAAGCTATGCCAGATGGAGTGATAAAAAGAAAAATTCCCGAAGCGAATCAACAATATACGGTGGTGACCATCGGCACCCACCATCTCTTGACAACACAAGAAATATGAGAATGGTTCTTCAAAAGCGGCGCCGTCGCCGGATCCAACCATCAAAAATCAGACCATGGGTTTTCACCCTGAAGATCAAGTCCGAACAAACTCTAAACAATGCCTTCATCAGGGTAACGACGCAAAGAACGCCGCCATTGCCAGGTACAAGCAACTAGGGTCGAACCTAGGGTTTTCACCCCGGAGCTTGAGACCGGGTACTCAAGAAGTACTACCCAATCAAAGTCATCCTTTGTTGGCTCCTCCACTTTCCGCAATCCCTGCAATAACATACACACAAGAGCGACGAAGCCTTTAATGGGGAAAGGACATCAGCACCACCAAAATCCTGAGATTCTTCGGCGGCGGCACATCATCCTCACAAGTGGCAGCTGATGGTTGATCTGCATCAGACGACACCACCATGTAACGCCACTAACTTCACTGTCCTCGCATGTGGCAACATGACCGCGAACGATCCAACGCCGAAATGACGCGACGCTCCAGGACACGATCAACAACTTCTTACCGCCGGCTGCGGATCTGACTGATCCAGGCGAACAATATTGTTTTTGCTAGATCGATGGTCGAAACCGCAGTACCCCACCAGCCACCGTCGTCCCGCGGATGCCAGAATCAGAGGCCACTCAGCCTTGCGCCAAAGCCCGAGTGAAGACCATCATGACCGCCGCCTTCCTGCGGTGTCACGGTCGATGGCCCATGGCTGCTGCAGATTGACTTGGTTGCTTGGTGCACCCACACTCTCGCTGAACTCAACGTCATTAGGAAAATCCGAGGCAGCCGCCCAAGCATGAACCGGTGTTGCCACTGCAACGCCCGCCTTCAGAGCATCTGGTCACCTCACACACTTCATCAAACGTCGTGGGAACAGAGTATCGCCGCCTCCGTTGGCCGCCCAGGCAAGCCCGGCGGTGCCGATCGGCGGCAGAGAAGGCAGGGCGCACATAAAGGCTTGCCCGGGAAAAGTGGATCGGGGGCAGCTGCCCGTGTCGCACTAGTCACACGATACGGGGGCAGTTATGTCACCCCTCTTTATAGATACGTCGCCCCGCTTTATAGATAAAGTACCAACTGAAGAAGAACACAACCGAACGATACAAGATGGTGAGGTAACCCTCTTACAAAGTCGATCTTGAGATATCTAGCACATGCAAAACGCACGCGACTACGCTACTATCAATGAACACTGGAAGAACTAAACATCCCCACGCTAGAACACTCTCAAGAGGGAAATTGTCGCAGAGTGTCTCCGCTGCCAAGTCCACGCTAGAACGGGTCTTCACCCTAAGCCCTAACATGGAGAGAAGAACCACAACGACGTCTTCAAGAAGATGGCGGCACCCTCGTGTGTCTTCGGCAGCGGCGCCGAGGCACGGAGCTTTCGCCCGACAACTCACCCGAGCCACTATGAGCCAACAGGAGGAGCGCGACAATGACAGAATCCCAGATCCAGATCAGGACACCGCCCATCCAGGGGAGGGGACACGTCCGAGCTACCCGACGCAGCACTCCAGTTGCCCACACAACCGGGGAGTGAAGCCACCACCACCGTAATGGTGCCCGCTCAGGAGCAACTATGTTGACCGCCATCCAGGGCCTGGCATCCCTGTCGCTAGATACCATGTGCCGCACCCATCACAACACACTCAACCACGGTATCGGTCCCCGGGTCTCGGTAGGCGCCTCCAGCATAGGAGGCACCCACACCTGTGTCCCCAGCCAGTGACAGGTGGACTGGGGGGACATGACTCCGAGACTACCGACGGCCACCGGCAAGCCAACAACGGACCCATGGCCAGGCAAGCTCACACAGTGCCAAGTCCGTGGTTACCGGTGCCGATCCACGCTCGGACACGACGATAACACGAGCACCACCATCGAGCACCGCACCCGCGAAGAGAGCACGAGCACCACCTCGGGCACCTCTCGGGCCAAGCCCAACCACTCCTACCCAAAGCACAAGTCACGATCCGCCCCGGGCCCCGACCTGGCCCGCCTGAGCACGAATCCTAGATCTGCACCTACCTCCGGCATACATCCAGGAGAAGGAGGTAGCCACCATCACCCCTCGCCACCTGCAACATGTAGCAGCCATGACGTCGTAGCACCTCCAAGCGCGCACCGCCGCTTGGCCCGAACCTAAACCCAACGCTAATCAGGGTCGAACCCGCCATCACGAGCCACCACGCCCAAGACCGAGCCATGGCAGCCAGCCAACATCATCTAAGCTCACGGCGCCTGCCGGCCAAGCTGGCCGTCGTGGCCGGGCGCACACAACCATCAATGTCGTCCTCGGCCCTCGCCAGGAGCAGAGCGGCCGCCCCGCAGCTCTGGCACGCCAACCCCCGCTGCCCCAGCCGCCACTGTGCGCCTTGCCGCCACCAACGTCGTCTGAAGCCCGGCCGAAGCACCGGAGGCCACCAATGGCCCCGTGTGCGGCCGCACTGCGCC